TAATTTCCCGAGCAAAGTGCTATCAGTTAATTATTTCAGGAAGTAAATGTTATTATCCTATTGTCTTCTTTTGCAGATTATTTTTTTAAACTTTATCTTTTCTACAAGTGAGTGGAATATTTCCAGCCAGAGCATTACGTAACCAAAAAAAAGAAAAAGAAAAGAAAACAATTTTTTTCCTAAATACGCCATCTGTAAATCACAACAGTGAAACTTAATTAACTAATTAATTAAATTAAGCCAACCGTTAAGAAAAGAATTATTGTCTAGATCACGGGTGTCAGACTCAGAACCTATCGTGTGCCAATTTTCACTTCAGCTGCCATCTTTTGACCAACAGAGGTTTATATGTTGCTTCCCAAGGTTACATTACTAGAACGAGGATTATGTACTTGTCCGTAAAGTTGATTTCAGTGATGTAAATGGTAGCAAATTGTACATGAAGTTATTTTCCTTCATGACGTTCATAATTTAACAAGGCTAATATTTCTTAGTCACTTAATTTTCTTCCCAGGAGACGCAATTAGCCCGTGGACCATGAGTATGGCACTCCTGGGTTATCTAATTAAGAAAACACATGAACAGAGAAAAGAACCAAGAGTGTAAGTGATAATTTCAAAAGACGAAGGACTGCTTAATGAATCATAAAAAACGGCCGACTGTAAGACCGAGAAAGCCAATGTGCCGAGGGACGTGTTTGACACCCCCGGTCTAAATCAGTTACAAATCCCCTTGGTAAACCGTGGAGGAGGAGGGAGGGAGGGGGTGGAGGGTAAGCTTGGCGGTCTTTAAACCTTCTTTAACCTCGTTTGAAGTTTTGAAGTTGACTGTGGAGTGGGAACAAGGCTTACCTTATCGCGTCATTGAAGTGTGACAGCGGCCAGTCACTTTCTTCCCATCTTCTTTGAGTAAACCATTCGGCGAGGGGGGACTTTTCAAATAATTTATTGACATCCAGGTGTACGATCTGAATGTTGCTGAGTTCCCTTGTCAGACTCTCTAGGAGACGCGTCTCTTTGAGTTTCTGAAAAAGAATGATTGAATATCTGTTAATGATTTATATATGGAAGAAATAAAAACACACACACACACACTCCCTCTCTCTCTCTCACACAAACACACACATACACACAAACACAACACACACACACACATACACAAACAAACACACAATCAAACACAAACATACCCACATAGATTGACATTTCACATAGACTGACATACGAGTAGATGGATAGACAAAGAGAGAGAGAGAGAGAGAGAGAGAGAGAGAGAGAGAGAGAGAGAGAGAGAGAGAGAGAGAGAGAGAGAGAGAGAGAGAGAGAGAGAGAGAGAGAGAGAGAATAAATACACCAGACAAGACCAGAAGAGAAAACAACGAAAAATAACAAAAAAAATAAAAAAAAAAAAAAAAAAAAAAAAAAAAAAAGCCAACAAATCAAGCACCCATCACGCCCACCTTCGCAGTCATGAACATGACGACGGGCGTGGGGTAGTGGGCGCGGGCGGCAGACTCCAGAGCACAGTACATGCGCAAAGTGAGACGCGTGTTGTTGTAGCCTTCAAGAAGCATAACGGAATTCAGGGGCGGTTCTTGCTCTCTCAGGCTACGGTAGGCGGTCGCAGGCTCCTCCTCCCCGTCTCCGTACCGATCCTGGGGGGGGGAGGGGACAGTGGGCGTGGTCAGTGGGGCGTGTTCAGTGGGCGTGGTTAGTTGGTCAGTGGGCGCGTGGTAGTGGCGTGGTCAGTGGGCGTGGTTAATGGTAAAGTGGGCGTATTAGTCAAAGGAAGAATGGAAGAATAAATGGTGGTTAGTGAAAGGGAGGAAGGTAGGCGGGGGGGGGGGGTGGGCGTGTTCAGTGGGCGTGGTTAATCAAAGGGAAGAATGTAAGAATAACTGGTGATTTGTGAAAAAGTAGGAAAGAGGAATTAAATGAATGAATGTAGAAAAACAGACATAATCTCATATTCTGAAACGTAGAATAGAATAGACTGATGTAAATAGACGACTAAAATTTCTAAACCTGTATACATGGCATATCTATACATTCATACAATACCGTGTACGTATGTATGTATGTGTATGTGCGTATGTATCCATTTATCTATCCATATATCTCTGTATATGTACACTTTTCGAAAAGAAAAGAGAAAGAAAAGAAAGGAAAAGAAAAGAAGAGAAAGAGAAAGGAAAAAGAAAAGAAAAAGAAAAAAGAAAAGAAAAGAAAAGAAAGAAAGAAAGAAAAGAAAAGAAAGAAGAAAAGAAAAGAAAAGAAAAAAAGAAAAAAGAAAGAAAAGAAGAAAAGAAGAAGAAAGAAGAAAGAAAAAAAAAAAAAAGAAGAAAAAAGAAAAGAAAAAAGAAGAAAAAAAGAAAAGAAAAAGAAAACGAAAAAAGAAAAAGATAAAAAAGAAGAAAAGAAAAAAACAGGAGAAAGAAAAGAAAAGAAAAGAAAAGAAAAAAAAAAAAGAGAGAAAGAAGAAGAAAAGGAAAAATGCAAGACGTGCTGAACAAGGCAAACCTAAATGGAAAACGTGATGCCGCATCCCTCACGCGAGACCAGCCCCCCCCCCCCCCCCCCCTGCTTCGCATACATAGATCCCTCCCATGACCTGGAAACTTTTATTTTCCTTTTAAGGAGCCGCGCAACCCCTTGCATTCCCCCCCCCCCGCCCTGCTTCCCCCCCCCCCCGCCTTCCCCTCTCTCTCCTACACTAAGGAGTCCTTCCCCCTCCCGCCCTCCTCCCCCTAACCCCTCCCCCTCGCTTCCCACAGTGAGTCTTCAACCCTCGCTCCCCCCCCCTCTTTCCTACACTAAGGAGTCCTTCCCCCTCCTACCCCCCCTCCTACATGAGTCCTACCCCCCCCGCCCCCTTTAGTTCATTAGAAAGAAAGCCTCTCTTGAAGGTAAAGAATAAGCAAATGAATAACAAAGAAAGTACAAAAGATGTAGAAGACAAACAGACAAACGATTTTTTTTTGATAGAACAAAATATCAGACAAAAAAAGGAAAAGAATTGTATCATAGGAATAGCTAAAGAAATTACAAAAGATATAGAAGACAAACAAACGATTTTTTTGTAGAACGAAATAGACAAAAAAAAAAAAAAAAAAGGAAAAAGAAATGTATCATAACAAAGGAAGTTCAAAAGATGTAAAAAAGAAACAAACGATTTTTTTGTAGGACGAAATATCAGACAAAATTACTTAATAGAAAAAAAGTATTATAAGAATAGCCAGAACATCTTTTCAATGAAGGGGAGGTTTCCAGGTGAGGAGATATATTATCTATAATCTTCATGGATCTTAAAGATAACAAGGCGATAACGTTTATTGCCTTCTTTTGAGGGAGCGACGTCTGACGTCATAGTCATCGAACTGCGGTTGTCACCCCCTCTCTCTGTCTACCTCGATCTGGTTATCTTTGTCTCTATTTAAATCTGTCGCTCTGTTTCTGTTCCTGTCTCTGTGTATCTCTCTCTATGATACACATGTATATCTCTCTCTATCTCTCCTCATTTTTATTCAACAGACATTCATTCCATGGCAGGACTTTGACCTTTTAATTCCCAATCGAAAAGGTATTTGGCAGTACCACCCTTTCCGATAGGATGGCCTTCCTAGTCAACGACGGTTCAGCGCACTAACACTTGTACCACTTCGACGACTTCCCCCGAAGACGACACCTTCCTTGGGTCACTCGAGATGCAGTGTTTTCTCCGCATGAGACCGGGGTCGAGCCAGTAGTCGGGGGGGGGGGGGGAGTATTTTGCAACTGTCGGGGAGAGGATTTGAACTCGGATCCTCAAGGGTATGTGTTATATATATATATATATGCGCAGATATATAAAGACACATGCACGCACGCACACACACACACACACTTTCGATCGGATTGGGAACATGCGAAAAAAATTGTTTGATTTCAGTAATAAGATCCCACACCCACACAGCCTTCCACCCCCCCCCCCGAACAACTACACACCACAAACAAGTAAAATATCTCTCCTTCCCCAAACTAAATTCATTAAATCTTTAGACCTCATTTCATCTTATATCACTCAAACCTATTCATTCATCTTTCTCAGCCAAACACATTAATTAATCATTAATGAACTATCTACCTATAATTTTTTTCTTATTTTCAGAGAAGGAGGAGGGGGGGGGGAAGTAGTCAAAATATCAAAACAACAAATTAATTACGAAAAGTGGAATTATTGACGTTCATTATGTCTCCAGTCATCCCTACCTAAGTATTCACACCCCGAGAGAGGAATTCGAAATGATAACACTAAATACCTTCACTGATATTGGATGGTGTCTGACATGCCTCTGATAATATATCACATTGCAGAGTTATTGAAGTGCCAATGATTAAATTGTTGAATTTGTCTTTAATAGCTGGTTAATGCGGGAGAACGGCGGAGAGAGAGAGGGAGTATAAGAGGTCTTAACAACCCTTCTTAATAGTGTAGTTGAATTACAGGTGGCGTTAGTGATACGTTGAATGGCTTCAGTCTTATTGAAGAGAACACAAGATATGAGAGACTACGACATGCCGGCGCCTGTGAGCGGTCATCCCCGGCCACAGGAGAAGGCGCTGAAGGTGTGATTGTGTGGTCAGGCCCCACGCCCTGCTCGGGCGGGTGACCGTGAGAGAGTGAGAATGAGATGAGGGCAAGGCTTGACCTCCCTTTTATTCAGAGGCAGTATGGCTTCTAATTTTAGAGAGCGTGGCTTGGGGTGAAGCGTGGGGCAGACAGCGTGGCGTGGACACGCACCACGTGGTATAGATAGGCAGCATGCTAACCTATGCACTATGCTATATGCACCCTATAGGGAGAGAAAGGTTTGGAGAGAGAGAGAGAGAGAGAGAGAGAGAGAGAGAGAGAGAGAGAGAGAGAGAGAGAGAGAGAGAGAGAGAGAGAGAGAGAGTACGAAGAAGAAAAGGGGAGAGAAAAAGAGAGACTACGAGGAAAAATAGAGAGAGAGAGAGAGACCAATAGGTAGTATGAGAGACCAAAAAGGTAGACAGACAGACAGACAGAGAGAGAAACAAAGATTGCACAATCTGACAAGATTAGAAATTCGTAGATTACCCAATAGCGAATAAACAACACATCCACTAACATGAGATTACACGACAGAGGGGTATACAGACCAGTACCTAATACCAAAGGCTCGATCACCAAAACAAGACTGGGGAGATCATTAGTTACAGATAATTAACTGATAAGAAGTACCATATGAAATCAGGTGACAGATATCGTTCACGCTGTTTTCTCCTTTTCGCTCTGTTGCTGTGTGAGTGAGAGAGAGAGAGAGAGAGAGAGAGAGAGAGAGAGAAGAGAGAGAAGAGAGAGAGAGAGAGAGAGAGAGAGAGAGAGAGAGAGAGAGAGAGAGAGATTTTCAGGCCACGTGGTCAGACCCACTCATGATCACGTGACTGACTCTCAATACGAACCCCATCTATCGCCACAGATATATGCACACATACACATACATTTAATATATATATATATATATATATATATATATATATATATATATATATATATATTATATATATATATATATATATATATATATATATATATATATATATATATATATATATATATATATATATATATATATATAAAATCTATCTGTATATATGTTTAAATCTTAAATGAAGCTGGCACCATAGATTCTTATAAAAAATGAGTCATGTACACTGGCAAACGAACCTTGAGAAAACACAATAACAAAACAATAAAAACAGTAAAAAAGAAAGGAAAAGAAGAGCATACCAAGAGCATTTCCGGCTTACGTATTAATAAAAGTCAAGGTCTAAATTTATCCGAAATGTCCATCTTGGAAACAACTCAGGAAAAGTTTGTTCCTTCAGATCGTGGCACTTAATTTTACTTAAAAGAACTTAAAACACTTAAATATAACGTAGAGTATTAAAAAAAAAAAAAAAAAAAAAAAAAAATCGATGATATATACATACGTACATACACGTATATTTTCTTTTCTACGTTAAAAGTATCATATTGCACATCATAGCAATTAAGATTTTGTAGTATCAGAAGTGTAGAATAATGATGTGAAAAAATACCTATAAAATAAAAAGTTAGATTCACGAATCTGGCAAAGCTTAGGGGCTTGGATTCAAAACTCGCCCTAACTGCGTGCCGTAAAGCGAATCCAACGCCATGTTTAACATATCAATATCAACTTAGCCTATCAACTTGGTATCAATTTAGCCTACTTAGCCTGTTTAGCCTATCAGCATCAGCTTAGTCTATCAGTATCAACTTGGTATCAATTTAGCCTACTTAGCCTGTTTAGCCTATCAGCATCAGCTTAGTCTATCAGTATCAACTTGGTATCAATTTAGCCTACTTAGCCTGTTTAGCTATCAGCATCAGCTTGTGTATCAACTTGGTATCAATCTACTTAGCCTGTTTAGCCTATCAGCATTTAGTCTATCAGTATCAACTTGGTATCAATTTAGCCTGCCTGTTTAGCCTATCAGCATCAGCTTAGTCTATCAGTATCAACTTGGTATCAATTTAGCCTACTTAGCCTGTTTAGCCTATCAGCATCAGCTTAGTCTATCAGTATCAACTTGGTATCAATTTAGCCTACTTAGCCTGTTTAGCCTATCAGCATCAGCTTAGTCTATCAGTATCAACTTGGTATCAATTTAGCCTACTTAGCCTGTTTAGCCTATCGGTATCAGCTTAGTCTATCAGTATCAACTTAGTATCAATTTAGCCTACTTAGCCTGTTTAACCTATCAGTATCAACTTAGCCTAACAAGTTAGTATCAATTTAGCCTACTTAGCCTGTTTAACCTATCTGTTTCAGCTAAGCATATCAGTATCAACTTAGCATATCAGGTTAGTATTAATTTAGCCTACTTAGCCTGTTTTACCTATCAGTATCAGCTAAGCCTATCAGTATCAACTTAGCCTATAAGGTTAGTATCAATTTAGCCTACTTAGCCTGTTCAGCCTATCAGTATCAGCTTAGCCTATCAACTTTGAGCCATCGGGAAATCTTTGTACCCGAGCCCGTATTGATAACACTAAAGGACAAATCCACTTGTTACTCACCATTTCAGTGAGTATATGCGTCGGGTATACGATCCACACCAGGAAGAAGCAGGCCCACCCACTCGCCCCCAACACCAACCACCATCCTCTCGGCCTTGATATCCTCATCTGTACAAAATTCCGGAGTCCTCCCTCTATCTTCACTTCCTGATGAGACTCTACTTATCTACGAAGCGACTGAGGACATCGCGCCGCCAAGTAAAAAAAAAAAAAATTAAATCCGTCACGTAAGCAGGGACTCAGACATCACTGAGACGGTTTTCGAATTGCCAGACGATAGCCCACCGAGAAGGAAAATATACCCGAATGTTGATAAACTCATGGCTTCATTGGGCTCGTGTTTCGCAAGGACTCTCTCTTTTCGAATAACGAGAGGCTTGGAAACCACACACACAC